AAAAAAAAAAAAAAAAAGAGTTTAGGGCTGGGGATTTAGCTCAGTGGCACCGCGCTGCACCTGCCTTGCAGGCACAAGGTCCTGAGTTTGATCCCCAGTACTAAAATCAAACAAACAAACAAACAATAAATAAATAAAGAGCCGAGCTGGGCGGACGTGGTGGTGTGCACCCATAATTCTAGCACTTGGGAGGCTGAGCCAGGAGGACTGCTGTGTGTTCAAGGCCAGCCTGGGCTACATAATGAAACCTGGTCTCAAAAAAATTAAACAAACAAAAAAATTCTGTTCTGTTTTTAGCTGAGGATTTAGCTCAGTGGTGCCGCTGCCTGCCACTTCCCAAGCTCAAGGTCCTGAGTTCAATTCCTGGTACCAAAAAAAAAAAGTTGGGTGTGGAGGTGCAAACCTGTAATCTCAGTTCAGCTACTCAGAAGAGGTGGGAGGAGGGTGGCAAGTTCAGTGCCAGCCTGGGCAATTTAGCCAGTGTTTGTCTCAAAGTAAAAAATCAGAAGGGCTGCTGATATAGTAGTAGAGCACCCCTGGTTTCAATCATCCGTATCAGGAAAAATTACAAATCCACGAGCACAAGATGCAGCATCCCCCTACCTGGTGTTGGTCTACAGAAAGGAAGTTACTCTGTGGAGGAGGCATCTGCACTCTGAAGTTCTCCCTGGCGAGACAGGGTGGTGAACTGAGTGTGTGAGGAAAGGGTGGTGTGTGTACACCACCAGGTGCTGTTCAACCATAAAAAAGAGCGAAACTCCACCTCTCAGCACAACATAGCTGGGACTAGAGATCATTATGTTAATGCAATAAGCCAGGCACAGACGAGGAGATCAGAGTGGGCTCACATGAGTGTGGGAGCTGTGGGTGGCTGAGCTGCTCTGGCCTAGGCTGCAGCTCAATGGTTACACACTTGCCTGGCATCCATGAGGCCCCAGCTTCCATCCCCAGCGCTTTCACAAGGACCAGATGATCTCATACAAGTTCAAAGCACAGTGGTGATGAGCGGAGGCCAGAGAGAGTAGGATGGAGGGAGACAGTGGGAGAGGGCAGTTAATAGGTACAAGCCACAATTAAGGAAGAAGTTCTGAGATGCTATTACACAGTGGGGTGTGGAGAGCTAATGATGCTGTATTTTTGTTTGTATGTCTTGGTACCTGGGATCAAACTGAGGACCTTGTACTTGTGAGGCAGATGCCGGTGCCACTGAGTTAAATCCCCAGCCCACAATGCTGTATTTTTTTAAAAACTGGAAGAAAAGTTCCATATGTGGTCACACACACCCTTAGTCCCAGCACTTGGGAGGCTGACACAGGAGGATCGCTGGGAGTTCTAGGCCAGCCTCAACTACATAGAGAGATGCTGTCTTAAATAGATAGATAGATAGATAGATAGATAGATAGATAGATAGATAGATAGATAGATAAATGGTGGGGAAAAAAGGGTTTTGAACATTTTCACCATAACAAAATGAAAATACAGCCCAGGGATGTGGCTCAGTGGTACCGCATCTGCCTGGCAAATGCAAGGTCCTGAATTCAATCCTCAGTACCAGCCGGGCCTGGTGGCGTATGCACTCGGGAGGCTGAGGCAGGATGATCGCTGTGAGTTGAGACCAGCCTGGGCTGCATAGTGAGTTCCAGGTCAGTCTCAACTACATAGTGAGACCCTGTCTCAAAACAAACAAACAAACAAATCAATCTCCAGTACCAAAAAAAGAAAAGAAATTAAAATATGTCAAGTCTCAGTGCCTGGGAGGTGGAGGCAGGAGGACTGGCATGAGTTTATGGCCAGCCTGGGCTACATAGTGAGTTCAAGGCCATACTGAAGTACAAAGGGAGACCCTATCTCCAAAATAGAAATAAATAAAAATTTTAAAATAGGAGATGAGTAGGGTTAACCTGATTGGAACATCACACAGTAGGTACGTGTACCAAAACATCACAAGGTAAACCATTCATATATGAAGTTTGTATGTTTGTTGTATCAGTTAAAAATGTTTTGTTTTGTTTTGTTTTTTTGGTACCGGGGATTGAACTCACAAGGCAGGTGGTGGCACCACTGAGCTAAATCCCCAGCCCTTAAATGAATTTTAACTTGGGAGGCTGAGGCAGGGGGATTGCTATGAGTTCGAGGCCAGCCTGAACTATATAGCAAGACCCTGTCTCAAATAAAGGGAGAGGGGATCTGGGGTTTTAGCTCGGTGCTGCACCTGCTGCACAAGTGTAAAGTCCTGAGTTCAATCCTTGGTACCAGAAAAAAAAGTGTGGTGGTGCACATCTGTAATCCCAGCCCTTGGGAGGCTAAGGCAGGAAGACCACTGTGAGTTCCGGGCCAGCCTGGGCTGTACAGTGAGACCCTGTCTAAAGAAAAAAGAAATTTAAAAATCTAGTTTTAAAGATACAATTTCAATCAACCATACCAAAAAGTACTGGGTGTCTGCTATGTGCTAGGCATTGTCCTGGGGCTTGGACACATCAGAGGAAAAGCAGTTAACACATACTGCAGCTCCTGAAAAACAATGTAAAAAAAAAATACTGCAGTTCTTATCTTTTGCTGTCAGTTCAAGGAAAAATTCCTTTTTCTGTTGTTGTATTGGGGATTGATCCCAAAGCCTCATGTCTGCCAGGCAAGCACTCTAGCACTGAGCTACATTCCCAGCCCTCTTTATATTTATTTTTAACTATCTATCTGTCTGTCTGTCTTTGGTTTTTTGAGACAGGCTCTCACTTTGTAGTACATGCTGGCCTTGAACTCACTATGTAGCCCAGGCTGGCCTTGAACTCCTGATCCTCCTGTTTCATCTTGAGGAGTAGCTGGGATTATGGGTATATATCCCCATGCCTGGCTCCAATTTTGTTTTCTCTGTTTTTGTTTGTTCATTTGTTTTTTTAAGATGAGGTCTCCGTTTGTAGTTTAGGCTGCCTTGAACTCACTGTGTAGCCCAGGCTGGCCTCAAACTCACAGCGATCCTCCTGCCTCAGTCTTCTGAGTGTTCGGATCACAGGCTCACACCACCACACCTGGCTGAGACCCTATCTTTAAACTTAATAAATAGGAAATACCTGGAGAGAAATATGGAAATAAAAATAAGCAGCAAGGCCTAGTGCCTCATGCTTGGATCATGAGTTCGGGGCCATCTTGGTCTAAATAGTGAGTTTAAGGCTAGCATAGACTATATAGGGAGAACCTGTCTCAAAAAAAATACAAAGTGTGAACAAGTGAGCGTGGGGCTGGGAATGTAGATCAGTGCAAAGGCCCTGGCTTCAATCCCCAGTACTGCAATAAAAAGAAAGAGTGTCCTATAAATGGAGCCAGATGGTATATGGATGGAATCCTCATATGTGACCTTTCCACACAAGCTTCTTTAAATGATATAATGACATTGAGTGTCACCCAGTCTATGGTGTATATAGTTCGTTCCCTTCTGTTGTAGAGTGTGAACCATGATATGAAAACACCACAGCTCAGTTATCGGTGTACACGGGGAGAGATTTTTGGGCTTGTTTCTAGGTTGAGGCAATGAGGAATAGAGCTGCTATAAACATTCATGTAAAAGTTTTTGCATGAACATCAGTTTTCATTTCTCTAGGGTAAATATCCAACAGTGGTAACGTTGGGGCTATCTCTTGCTTTTTCATGGACTCCAATCAGTCTTGTTACTCTTCTTCGCATTATCTAGCAACTATTAGATTGATTTTTCCTGGTCTCTTGCCATTTTTTTTCCGGTACCAGGGATTTAACTCAGGACCTTGCACTAGCAAGTCTCTTGCCATTTTTAAGAAATTTTTCTCTTTCATAACTACTAACTGCAATCCTGTCTTCTCTATCTGATATTCTGTCCTCACATTGCCTCGTTCTGCTAGGTATACTTTCTTTTTTCTTTTTCTTTTTTTTTTTTATGAGACAGGGTCTCACTGTGTAGTTGAGACTGACCTGGAACTCACTATGTAGCTCAGGCTGGTCACCAACTCAGAGATCCTCCTGCCTCAGCCTCCTGAGTGCTGTGATTACAGGTGTGTGCCACCACGCCCGGCAGTGCTAGGTAGTGCTAGGTATACTTTCAGTGGAATTTTTAATCTCCTTCATATCTGTTTGAATCCATTTCATGGATTCCATTTCTTTCCTATGCTGGGCATTTATGGTTTCCATCATTTTCCTGAGCTCCTCCATTTTTTTTTAATCTGTGTCTGCTCTAGAGTCACTAAGCATGTCTTTCATTATGGTCACCATCTCTGTAGTTGTGGGGATCATGAGTATTGGTTGTAAGTATTGTTAACTCTAGTAACTCCATATGTGTTAAGCTTCTCCAGTTTAGCAGGTAGAGTGTTTCCTTTGTGGAATTCCTGAAAGTTAACAGTTTCTTGTCTCTGACCTTTAGATGTGTGGTTGTCCAGGTTACTACTACTCACGGTGGGTTGTTTTTGTTGAGCCTGTTTGCTCTTTTCCTGTGTGACCTTTCAGTTACTATGGTAAACCCATCCCATAATAGTTTGTGGTTTTTTTGCTTTAAAAGGCCGGTGCTTGCCGGCATTAAACGCCGCCTTGATCAGACTCTTGTCTTGGCGTCCTTCCTTTCTCTCTGCCCCATCTCCACCCCGCTGCTCTTTCAGGTTTGAGACACTGCTGGACAGTGCTCTGCGTCGCCGGCTCGCGACAAGTGGCGCCCGAACAGGGACCTGGAATTGAAGCAGCGATCGGTGAGCAATCCGTGAAGCCTGCTGTCAAAAAGGGTTCGGCCAAACCGAAACAAGGAGGACACCGCTGTCTGGAACGCCCGGTGGGGAAAATCCTCGGAAGAAGCAGGTACCAATGGGGCACATAGGATCTAAGACAAAACTCAGCGTAGCAATTCAGTCTTTACTCAGGGAGAAAGGAATTAAGGCAAAGAAAAAGTCATTGTTTCAATTTCTTGATTGTGTGGATGAAACTTGTCCTTGGTTCAGTGATGTAGAAGAAATAACTGATGATGTTTGGGATAGAGTAGGAGGAAAATTAAATGAAAAATTAAGGAGTCATAATTCTGAGAGTGTACCAGCCATTACATTTTCTTTCTGGTCTTTAATAAATGAGTGCTTACAAAAAAGGGATGTACAAGGCTTAGATAAATACCTCCGCTTACATAGTGTTAACCCTTCAGATGGGGACACAAGCTCTCCCCACGGGAGTATTTGGACCCCTTCCAAAAGGCAATGTTGGGATCATCCTAGGAAGGAGTAGTTGGATTTTAAAAGGGCTTCATATTCATCCAGGAGTCA